GGAAACCCTGTACAGGGTTGCTATGAGTTGGAACCGACTCCACAGCACATAACAACAACAACATATAAAGATAAGTCTATTATCAAGGAAATGGTTTACAATTGTCCCAGGTCCCCAGTAGAAGAGAGAGTGTCCCTCTGGCATATATTGGGAGCAGCCCTCTCCCCCTCCCCTGCCCCTTGCTCAAGGAAGCATCTCATCAACTGATTGGCAGCTCATCGCCACTCTTATGATGAGTTAACTATGGCTGTATTAGGTTTCATCATGGGGATAAGCACATCCCAAATGCTAAACCTCTGGCCTAGTCAAGTTGACACAGAACCCTAACCACTACAACTTCCTTGTCATAAAAGGCAGATAGTCAAGCACCAAGCTACTTCGGTGGATGTGATTCTAGAGAAACGTGGATTTTAGCATGCCTTTATATACTTTGGGCTCTTCCCACAAAAACAGAATTTGAGATTCAAGTGACTCAGCATCAGTAGAGATTACTGAAGCAAAGATAGCTTAAGAAGGACATACAATTTCTAGCTATGTTCAGTGGAGTGCAGTTTCTTAGCATAATGATGGGAAAACAGCACGATTCCACCCAAATGAAACAAAGAGAAATGGGTGTGATGAATGCTCAAGTCCACATTCCTGGTCAAGTTGCTCATGATTTAGAAAGAAATTGGATTTTTGAATTGGTTGGTACGACAATACAAGGGGGTTTCAAAAAAATTTGTGGGAAAATTTCATTATCTTTCTATTCCATTTTTTCAAAGCCCCTGGTATAGTCAGAGAAAGATCTCCTTCTCCATTCAGACTTTCTCCAAGTCTCCTATCCTAGCTTCCCTCTTGGGGATGGGTCCAATGCTACCACTTTTTCTTTAAATGAAACTGTTGAATGCTTCATTACTTTGAGGCAAAGGAAAAAGTTGGGAACTGGTGGGGTGTGGAGGAGGCCCTGGATGGTGCTAATGCCAGGGGATACAAATGGTCTAGGAACCAAAAGGTTGCAGGTTGAGTTTACCCAAACAACCTTGGAAGAAAGGTTTCTGGGTTCTACTTATGAAAACTAAGCTATTGGAAAGTTTGTGGAGCACAGTTCTGCTCTGATACACATGACATCACCATGAGTCAGACAGACTCAGCAGCAACTGGTGGTAGTGGTACAGGGAGAGCAAGAATCCACAGTAGGAAGGTGACTTTGTAAGGTTTTATCTCCTGAAACTCTCCAGGCTGCTCATTCCCCAATCAGAAGGAAGGAAATGTCTTTTCCTTCCACCAGCCCTGAAGTTTAGCTCTCCTTGTTTGAGAACAAAAGCCGGAAACAGGGATGCATTCACTGTTCTTTCTTGTATCGCTTGCTTCAGATTCCTATCTGCTTAGTCTTATCCAAAGCACTTACTGCGGCAACTCAAGTTTATCAGCATATCAAGAGCCCTTTAAATAGACTGCAGACTATTAAATACTAAAAATAGGGAAATGGTTTCTCCTTCCTCTGCTTCTGTCTATTTCTAATTTCAGCGGATGTATTTTTACTACCTTCTATATAAAGTGGATCTAGCTTTGGGAAGAAAGCATGTGTGTAGGTGATCCCACTGAACTGAATCCTGCCTAACACCGCTCTTCTGAATTCCAGATTGCTTACTGGGAAGTATTTGATGGAACAGTGATCCGAGAGTTGGAAGGCTCTTTGTCTGGGTCAATAAATGGGATGGATATCACAGTGGAAGGAGTGCACTTTGTAACAGGTTAGTCCTGGGATAAGAAAAGAATGCTAGGCTTAGCTTATTTTGAGGAGAACATGGACACTTCAGGTGGGAGGCAATTTGAAGAAGCTCCAAGAGGGTCTAAACTTGCTTCGCTTCAAGCTCGAACACAAGCAGCCAATGTGGCTAGAAAAAAAAAAAAATCCACAAGTCACTTTTCAGTGATAGGAAATCTGTGCACTGAAGCTTTAGGGTGGGAATGTTTCTTGCTGTAAAGATTTGTTCCCTCTTTGGGGTTACTGCATCCATAGGTGTAGGTCAATTTCATCAAATTGTAACACATCACTCTTCCCCCCCCCCCACTTCTTTCTTCTCCTGGTTGAGTTCTGATCATCCATTCATCGGGGCCAGGTCACGTGGGTATCATCTGTAGGTGTGGGTGTTCTTGTGCATATGCCCTTTCTTCCTATCAGCTGGTAGCTTCACTCTCCACTCTAGTCCTCTGTGGCCACACCGCTGACTCTGGACCCAGGAGTCCCCAGGTCTCCCCTGTGTGTTGATTCTTGATGATAAAAATGGAACTTGAAATGACCTGTTCTTTCCAGATGCCGTTTTTATTGGCTGCTGAAGTCTTTTCGTTCACTTTTGTTATGGAATGGTGTGATGTCTTTCCCCAAATAAATGAATAAATCAGCATCTCAAGAGGGGCATTTATCACAGAACATGCCTACTGGCACAATATCAACATTGTTTCTTGCCAGGTTCTTTGGTCCTTCATGATATTAACAAATAAATGCTCCAAATGAATGAAAGCTTCGCCACCATAATCAGCTTAAAGCAAGATCTAAAACTAGACATAATGTCATCCCAATTAGATATACAGGTATATATGCAGACCTTGGAGTCCTGGTGTGGCACTATGGGTTAATGCGCCAGACTGTGAAGCC